CCTGAATAAAAAGAGAACGTGTACCAAAAGCAGTGAGCTTTAGCATGCATCTTTTATGTCTCAACAAGCTAAAACCCTTTATATTATTCAAATACCATTAAAAAAACTAAATCACTAACAATCCCATATTGCATTTCTTTTTCTAGCACAAATAAAAGATATTTCACTCCTGTGGTCACTACATTTACACCTATATTAGTAAATACAATTGGTTTTGTCAACCCAATGGGGCAATAATAACAATAAAAGCATCTAATTTATTAAGCACTTAATTTGTTCCAGTTGCTGTTTGAAGTCCTTAACGTGTATGAAGTTATTTAATTCTCACAACAGAGCTTCAAGATAGGTACTAACATTATTTCCATTAGTTTGATTCCAAACATTGACGTATTTTAATTGCTCACTAAGACCAGATCATTCTTACTCAACAACTATGTAGACAATTCACCAATGTCCAAACACTCCTTCACTGGTCTCAGCAATATAAGACAGAGAGAACAGGCTATCTGTACAGTCATACGAGTTCAATAAATGCATCTCTACTAATATGTTCGTTTTTAATGCTGTTCAAACATTCACATGGAAACAGCTCTAGCGTAAATATCCCCGAACAAATGGCTGTATATTATCCAGGAGGGAGCAGTTGGCCCGCCAGACTGGGGAAGTACTAGGCCATCTGGCTCCGGCAATCTCTCCAAAACCATCAGCTTTGTTTTCACCCCCAGACTCCAAACAACACATTTTCCACTGTGATGAGTTTACATTTTCCCAAACACAGGTCCTGATCATGCATAAAAATTCCAAACTTCTTCATTCCTCTATGTGCAAGGAAATTCAAATCACCTGCGTTTTTGACATATTACCAAAGGAGAGTGAAAGCTGCTGAAATATGGCCTCTGACTATAAACTTGCTGTGTCCTTTTTTGTTTATTTCCCCAAATATATGAAAGAACCTCTTTGCTGGCCTAGTGAATTCCTTGGGAACTTACTGATATACTGAAAATGTGTTTATCTACCATTGAAGAACCATGAACTGAAAGGGTTGTTAATCAAATCTATGTAGCCATGTCAGGATATAATGAAACAATCAATAGGAAAAAAATACACTTACATCAATAACTTAAAGTACCGGGAAGATAAAAACAAATATATAAAGCAGTCTAGCTGGGAAGAGAAACCTGATAGCATTTCTGATGATTATGTCTTGGAACCCCCACTGTCCTGGGACCGTTTTCACAGTCTCCTCACTACATCCCCTACCTTCAAATCCATACATACAAGGATTCTGTGACTACGATTTTCACTTGTCAAAAAAGCTTTTGTTTAGGGGAAGAGGGTGTTTTGTTTTAATCACTTTATACAATTTGGTACCCTTTTTTTTTTTTTTTGAATTATAAAATGCCACTCTTTTAAAGCAAGATGGTAAGAGGGTAGATAAGCTAAACTTAAAAAACTATTTAAAGATATATAACTCACTAAGCAGTCACAGAATGTAATCATATTTCAAATACTACATGAAAATCTGAAAGGATGCCCACTAAACCTCAGACCTCCCCCACTGGGTTCATTTGAGCTCCTGCAGTAGATGTTGTTTCTGGATGCAATAGCCATAAACTTCTGGATTCTACAGGGCATTTTGCATGCTCACTAATGGAATACCAAAAACAGTAATGACACGAAAACAAACTATTTTTAGTCCAGCTAAACTTGGTTTTGAATAACCCTTCCCAAAAGCGAGCCTCTTATTTTCTAGTTGGTGGATGAATTTTTAAAAGATTATATTCTGTGTGTTTTACAATGAAGGCATAGAGACAAGAGATCTCAGATTCTTATATATTCATTTCTAATGAAGCTTCACCTTTCCTGGTAGAGTCCAAAAATTAAGAGTCATTACCCAAAATAGTCTAATGAGACACTTTGAAAAGGTGTGAAATACTGTCATACCAATACATCTTGGTTGATTGAGTACATTTCTTTTTTATCTCAATGCTGCTAATTCCACCCAAAATCAAGAACAGTCTATGGAAAAGCAGAATGAACAAATAGTTTTAAATTTTGCCTGCTCAAAATTCCTTTTAAGCTTTAACCCCACTTTCTAGTCAAGGATATGACATCACTCCCATAAAGCTGTATCTCTGATAGGAAAAATGTTATAATAAACATGCAGCTAAGAGAAGACACTTCAACAGTGACTAGGTATTCCTTCCACAATTGATGATGTTATTAGAACTTATCACATCGAAAGTATGTCATTCTATACATAATTATCAAAATCCATCATTATTTTGAGGAAGAATTTCACAGGAAAAAAATTTAATCAATCAGTTTATATCAAGACTTACATCTGATTTAAGGAGCCACTGTATATTAAACTAAAATCAAAGGTTCAAGAAATTTTAAATCAGACTTGGTATTTAATTATGATAGAATAAGTTCAAGCTAGATGAAGATTCACTGTTTTACTCATTAAGGCTAAATATAAATTATTTTTATGTCACACCTAGGGAAAGTTAGCCATCTTCATGCTGATCTGCTTTTTGGAGACCATTGTATTAATCCGGTACACAAGAAGCTAACCTACTTCCAAAACTCTTACAGCACATAATCAAAGAACAAGGAATTGGATAATGAGCAGGAACTGCCTTTCAAAGTGAAAGCTACAGAGAGGTGGTTATTTAAACAATTATTATGAAAGCACACAGGTATGCCTTGAAATATTCCTTTTCCTGACATTCTTTAGACTTAGATAATTATTAAAGCTTTCCTCAGGCCACTCCCCACCAAAATATATAATTGCATGCATTTATAATTTTGACTATTACTGAGATGTCATATTATGGCAAATGACTTTTTCATAAGTGCTATTATCGAAAATAAAACTAATCTTGTTCTTGTTCCTCTCTGTCTCTTTCTCTCTCCCTCCCTCCCTTTTTCCTGATAGAATTTATGACACCAAGTGGTCAAAGAATGCCTTAAGCTGCAGTTTTTCTTAAGCTCTATGACCTTGTTAGTAAAATGATATTTGATGTATTGCTTTATAAAAATCAAAAGATGATTCTCCCCCCATTTTTATATGAGTATAAAGTCAGTTCATTTCGTAATGGGAAAATCGATTAGTAGTGGCACTTTTTGACTAGAGAGACCTAAAATAAAAATTTTGAGGAAGTTTAAATCAGAAAGAGATTAATCACTTCAAACATGTCTTAATTCTGTGCTCCTTACAATTGTTCATTTCATAGTGCTGCCTATAATTTAATATTTCAGTGGTCAATGTTACACAAGCAGATAGGCCTTATATACTGATTTGTGTATGTGTGCCTTTTATCTTTTAGAAAGTAAATCCTAATAAATACATATGGAATATGTCTTAGAGTTCCTACTTTCTCCCTCTTCCTCCCAACTTTTTTTTTTTTTTCCTGTAATGAGAATGGCAGGAAAGGATATCCAGGGTATCAAAGACAATTTTTGAAAACAAAACTCCACTTAAGACATTTTTATTTTGACATCACAAAAGAAAGTTATTAAAAATCAGGCTTTTGTATTTCTGCCTTAGCAGGTTAAAAAAAAAAAAAAAAGAAAAAAAACACAGTGTCCAAATGAAAGGGAATTATCCTATGTAATGATAAAATCCATTAAAGAAAATAAAACCAGGACCAAAAGTATAAATGGGGATTTACTCTGAGCAATCCAGTGAGAAATAAGCAGATTTTTAAGAAAGCCAAATATTTTAGGCAAATAGCATGAAATAGATTTCGATTAATAGTTACTTTTGTTTTTAAATATAGATTTCATATTCTTGTTTTCTACTTGGGTCACATTGAAATATGAAAGTGATCATCAAAACAGCTGTTATTAAATTGATTCTTGAAGATTAGATTTTTTAAAACACCCAACAGTTTATTAATGTGTCATTTCTACAACATATTTAGGCATGGTGTATATAAAAACAATTTTTAAATATGCATATATATCCTATTTGAAACTTTCTTAGCCACTATCTATGAAAGAAGATCATTGCTCTTAATTTAAAGAAAACATTCTAAAATCACAATCAAATAAATTTTAATCCTCTTGCTAAATTGCTGGTTAGTATACAATGGATAACTTTTCTCTTTGTTCTGATTTCTTTCCCCCACCCAATAAAGCTGTCTTCTTTTTTCTGCTACTAACTCCTCCAACTACCTAACCAGCTACTTAATTCTGAAACTAAACTTTTTCTTAAAATTAAGAAGAAGGGGGAAAAGCTCCTGTGCCTCATTAAAACGTCAGGCCTCTTTTCTGGCTCGGCTCATAATTGTATCTTTTAAACCATAACTCAACCTTAATGTATACTGCTTGACACCCGCGTGTTGGGAGCTTAAGAAAATGCCGTCTATGTACCTTTAAGACCACAAGCTCACTCATGCTGCCTGGCTTCCTGCCAGACTTGGAGGCAAAAGCAGGAGGGTTTTTGCAAAATATCCTCTAACAATTGTCGCTCCCTCTTTCAACACTACCTTCACCATCATTCCCTTTGAAAACAAATCTGCAGAATGGTCATCAGCGCTCTCAGCCCATCTCATCATTCCTGGGGAAGCTGCTTCTCCCACCCCTCCTCGGTCCCCGCAGCCCCTTGCCCCTCTGCCTCCAGGGGAGGCCTGGCTAGCTTGGGTTTCAGAGGTTCAGCCCACTCCACGCCAGGGTCCCTGGGCACCTTTTGCGCCCTTTGGGACTCCCTGGCTGGGTCAGAGGAAGTTCAGCCCTTATTCTCGCCACTCAGCACCCTGCAGTCTTAATTCACAAGGTCCGAGTTCCCTTGGAGGAACGACGCCGTCGAGCCCTCATCCCCACGCGGCGGTGCAAGTGCATGGACACTGGAAGGCGAGGAGAGTGTAGTCTGAGCTGCCCCGCTGGCTTTTAAAGTTAATGTCCCAGCCCTCCTGCTGTGGACCACCTAGCTTCTTGACTCCCCTGAATTTGGTGACCTAGAGACCCCAGTGGCCCAAAATCAAGAAACTTACTTGTTTTGTCATGGAGTCAATGAGGCGCACGTAGAAATCCTGCTCCGTCCTTATCCCTAGGGTTGGAAATGGGGGAAGGGAGGAGAATTAAGTGAGAGGCGATGGAGGGTGGGTGGACAATAACTAAGCAACAAATAACAACAACACTCCCTCACACATTTCACAAAAGGGGCTCCGAGGTTGATTGGAACTCCCCCTGTCCTGGAAAATACAGCCAGGGTCTCCCTTCCCCAGTGTCCAGAGAGGAGCTGCTGGCCTAGCCTTAGCGGTCGTGGAAGCCAGACTCCAAGCTCTGCAGCTGGGACTGGGATAAGGGTACCCCGACTTGTCTATTCTCACTTCCCACGGCAAGAGTCCCTCTGCTCTTGCCTGCAGCCTTCAAGGCCATGACCCATCCTAGCCCCTAAGCCCAAGGGGCCTTGGGCCTGGAGCCTGGGCCAAGCCAGAGAAACAGGCCCCAGGAAAGGGAGGAAGAATCAAAATGGCTCGGGGAGGGCTGAGGCATTACACCTGGCCGCAGGTAAACGCAGGATCAATTAAGACTCTTGGGCCACGTGGAGCCTCCTCAGGTGAAACCTCCTAGGGCGAAATTTAGGAGAGGCTGGTTCACCTCGGAGAAGGTGAACGACTGCCCTTCGCTGGAGGGTTTCGTCCACCTAGAGCTCGCTGCGCCCCCTGCCCAGACCCGGAGCCCCAGGGTGAGGGCACAGACCCAACCCGGGCCTCACCATTGCTGTAGAGAAGCTGAAGCCGGTAGTGAATTCCGTTATTGGTCTTTTCGCTGTTGGCTTCCTGGGTTGCATCAGGACGCAAAGACACAAGAGATGCAGGAGAGAGGTCTGCGTGAGCGAGTGGACCAACTTTCCAGGCAACTTTCCCCAAGCCGGGACCCCCGCTGACCAGCCAGCCAGCCCCAGTAGCAGCAGAAATTGCGGCCAACTGTGATCCCTCCTCCGACCCCCCGTTCCTGACTGCTCCCTCTCTCCTAACAGAAAATTCCGTGGGGCGCACATAGGCGATCCTCTTCCCAGGACCTAGGGGCTAGTGCCCGGGCCGCCAGAGGCAGGCGGTGCGCGGTCTGGTAGTGGAGGGCGGGTTCACCCCGGGTGCCCATGGCTGTGGATTGAGCGCCTCTCTCCAGCTCTGGGGACACCGTGCGAACTTTTTTGGAGCAGGAGCCAGAGGACCGGGACCATGGGTTCGTCCGGGATGGGAAGTGGCTTGAGGGACCCCCGCACAGAAGTGTGTTATGGATGCTTTGCACTCAAGGAAGGGCTTGCCGCCCAAGGCTCCTGGGCCTGCTCCGGAGCCGAGCCGGGGACGAGGGGCGACAGCGCTGCGCCCACTTACTTTTTCCTTCTCCACGAACCCCACAAACGCTGTCCTCTCGATCTCCACGGGCTGGCCCTGTCTGTCGTAGAGGGCCAGGACGAAGTGGAAGAAGTTGGATTTCCGCAGATTGGAAGGCGGCTGCTTCTCAAAGTGAGCCCGGGCCAGCCCCACCCCGCTGCGGCCAAAGACGCAGAGTTAGATGGCTAAATCAGACGCTGACCCGCGCCCCTTGTCACCCTGTACACACGCTAGAACCCTCAAACACCCACCTCCTGTTCCCCTAAAACATCCAGTGGGCGCTCTTCACGCCCCTTCAGGCGACACGGACCCAGCCGACGACGGGACACACATGTCCCCTCATGTCCTCGTCCTCTCCGCCAAGGACGGGTGCGTCCTCAGAACTCGCTGAAGAGGTGTGAAAGTTTTGTTTGGGTTTTGCGCGCGAGGTGAAACGTATAAGCATTTACTCCTACCTGACGCGCGCTGCGTGGGGAGGAAGAAGGGTGGCGGTGGATGAAATGAACCCACCTTCGTGGAATAGAACCTACAGTTCATAACTTTGTTCCCGGCACCCCTCAAATCTCACATCTCAGCTACTAGGGCAGGTGGGAATGGATGGAAAACACGCTCGGCATGTCGCCGCAGCAGCCACCCTCCAGGAACCCCGTGCGCTCCTGCCAACTACGCGTGCCCGGCCTTGGGAAGCCACATCCCCTCCCCACCACCAAAAAGCATGTGGAGAAGGGTCCGAGGGCGGGGCTCAGAACTGTCGCGGGTGGTCGCTGTGAAAAAGGGAACAGGGGTGTTTTCTTAAAGACCTGTCCTAACAAAGTTTCGCTATTCCGCATAAATCGTCGCATTCATTCCAGAAATCCTAAAGGCCGGGGCTGCTGGCTCAGTGCGCTGGCCGGAGAGGGGAGGCTGGAGCGCCTGGGGCGCCAGGCGGCCACTGACAGCCGGACCTGCCCAACACAAGCGCGCACAGGCACACACATACACATACATGAACACACACCAGCGCCCCGCGCACACACTTTCACTTCCAGCCCAGTTACCCAATTCACTCTCACTATCAACCACCCCCATCCTAATACTTAGTTGGGATGGGAACAGTGTTGGGACGCTTGTCCCCAGCCCAGGGAAGCTGGAGATGATGTAATTAGTCATCTTCCTTCTTCCCCTTCCGCACTCTGCGTCCGATGGTGCCTGGGGCCATCAGGTCCCCCACTGTCCCAAGCTCAGCTGGTGGCTTAAGTGGGGGAAAAAGGCCAGTTCTCACTTGGGACCAGGAGACTGGGAAAGGGCCTTGGGTGTGCCCAGGAAAGTTCCCTCAGGTCAACCTCCAAGGGCAATGCCTCCAGGCCACACAGTCTAGTGTCTAGGGAGCTGCGAGTGGGAGAGCGGCTGGAAGGGGACACGGTGACATGGGGACAGGAGGTGGAGAAGACTTTTAGGAGATGTCAGAATTAAAGTTGGGAGTTGCTATTCTACCGATAGACTGAGAAAAACTGAAAGACAGAGAGGGAGGGAAGGAGAGCCAGATAGCAGAAATAAGAGAAGACTCAGGGGAGAAATGGGGCGAGAAAAAAACAGGAGAGACAGAGAGGTAAGGAAAAGAGAAAGAGGAGAAAGAGAAGAAAGAGGAGCTGAAGGAGAAAGGAAAGAAGGGAAGGAGAAAGGAAGGGAGGAAGAGAGTGAGGGAGGAATTAAGGGAAGGTGGGGAAAGAAAGGAGAGAAGAAAACGAAAGAAGAGAAGAAGGAAAAGGCAGGAAGAGAGACAGGAAAGAAAGAAGAACTAAAGAAATGGAAGGAGGGAAGAGGGGAAGAAAGGAAGAGGAAGGAGAAGAGAAGAAAATAAAGAAGGGCAGAAAGAAAAAAGGCAGGAAGAGAAAGGGAAAAGAAAAAGGAAAAAGAAAAGGAAAGAGAAAGAAAGAGAAGAGGAAAGAAAGAAGGAAAGAAAAAGAAGAAAAAGAGAAAAGAAAAAGAAAGAGGGAAAAAGAGAAGGGGAAGGAGAAAAGACAGCCTGCAGGAAAATAAAGATCAATCACAAAAAACAAACAACAAAAAAAAATCCAACATGCTGTGTTGAGACGCCTCTTCTGTGTTAAAACAAAATGAAAACAGTCACAGACTAGGCAGGGGAAAGTGCTGGCAAAGCGTGGACTCGTCGCAGACAGCTCCGGGTCCTCCGGCCGCAGGCGACGAAGGCAGAGCGGCCAGAGAATGCGAAGCCCCGGCGGAGAACGGAGCGCAGCGGTGGACGCACCCCGCGGCCCGGCCCTGCGGCAGCAGCTACAGCTGCCGCCACCGCCTCCCGGTTCTCCCGCTCGCGGCTCACCTCGGCCGCGGTCCCCGCGCGGTACCCACCTCTGCGCCGCCGTGTTGGCGTCCAGCACCCCGGCGCCCTGCATCCACGTCCGCACCGCGTTCATGCCGCTGCCCAGCGGCTCTTCCTTCATGCTGCTTCCACTCCGTTGGATGCTTTCCTGAATCCCAAACATGAAAACAACCTTTTCTTGTGGAAAATCTCCTCCCCCTTGAAAAATTTAAAAAAAGAAAAAAAGAAAAGAAAAGAAAGGAAAACGCCAACCAGAGATTTTTTTTTCTCTCTCTCAGACGATGAACTCGTGCTTAGAAGATCAAGGCGGGCTGGAAAGCAAATTTTTAAAAAATGTAAACCTCTGCTCAAAAGTGAGCAATAACCCGAAAAAAAGAAGAAAGGGAAAATCCAACGAAAAGACCAAAATAATAAAATTAGAGATGTATGCTTGGCTGTTGGGGGTTGTTTGGTTGGTTGATTTTTGGTTT